TTAATGGTAGCAGTAAGATAAACAGAGCTCGGAACCATGCAGTAAGGATCACCGAATACGAATCAGGGATCACCAATCACGGACTGGATCACGGAAGCATTGGACTGCGCTGACACTAGCACGCAATGTCCCACATAATCGAGATTAGAGGAAAATACCACAGGAATAGTAGTTAATTTATTGCAAGGGGATCAACTTATCTGTAAAATTTAGGCTCATTGGTTATCCGGGCTTCTACCGATTGCGTTTTAGTAATTCTAGCATCGTTCTGTTTCTGTCTGGGCCGAACGGTCTCTGATGGTCTAGTACGATCTACCTAGGTTACGTAGTCAGAAGCATTGACATGTACGCACGTTGTTGACGTCACCCGTGAAGTCTGATTGATCGCAAGTGTCCAAAAACTGGAACGCCTCTCTCCTTGGTACGTGTCATCTCGCAGGGCCTCATCACCACAACTCTCCTCCTTCTTCCAGACGCCGAGATGCTTTATTTTTCGTTGTTCCGCGAGTTCCCTAGCCTCGTCGGTCGCAGCACCGAGCTGGCTTCTATCATGACGGAGGAGGAGCACCATATCGTCATCCGACTTCCTACGGTTCACGAACGTTCCCGTCGACTAACACTAACATTTGATCATGCGCACTAGCATGCCTCATGGGCTTCGTGAAACATACTTTTATTATTATTAGTCGTAGATAAGTTGCGCACCGCAAAAGTAGAGTTTCAGCACATGCTGAACATAGGCCTCATACACATCTCCGAAGGTCCATGGGTGCCCTCTTTCCCCATCGTTCCCAAAACGTCATCTGACGACTGGCATCTGTGTGGAGAGTATCGCGCGCTCAACTGCGTTACTACCCTGGAAAGCTACCCGAGCCCCTCCAAATCATGGATCTCACGTCGGACGTAGCTGACAGAGCCCTTTTCAGCCGTATAGACCTGGTTTACGCACACTACGAGATACACGTAGCAGAGATCAACACCCCCTAAATAGACCTAGTACCACCGTTTGACCTTCGAATTCCTCTGAAAGCCATTCGGTCTAAGCAGCGCCAAAAAGTCCTTCCAATGCTTCATCGACAACGTCTGTAGAGGTTCAGACACTGTTTTTGTTTACTTAGACAATATCCCAGTGACTAGCTCATCTGGCAAACCTCTTAGCACTTTTTGGTCGTTTGGCACAGCACGATGTCACAGTCGACGCACTAAAATGTGTTTTTGGTGCTTCCAGCAATGATTTCCTCGGTCTTCGCACCACAGCCACTGGTATCAAGCCACTAGGTGACAAAATTCGAGCGGTAATAGATTACCCGGAGCCCGCCACGTTCAAGCAGCTCTGAAGTTTCGACGGTTTAGTCAACTTTTATCGTCTTCTCATCCCCCAGTGTGCACAGCTTATGCAGCCACCACTAACCTATTCAGAAGTAAAGTCAAAACGTTAGTAATCAGGCAAGTGACTCGAGACTCCTTCAGTTAGTTGAAACGAGCAATCAGCAAGATCGCAACACTATCTCACCTGGATCCCTCGGCCAAACTAGCACATGTCATCGATGCGTCGGAAGACACATTTGGCACCGTCCTTCAACAACAAGTAAGACAGGAATGGTATCCAATAGCTTTTTTCTACAACAAGCTCCGACCGACCAAAACAAGATGCAGCGCCTTCCTCCGAGAAGTCCTTGCAATCTACCTCAGTACCCGTCACTTCCGCCATTTCTTCGAAGGACAAGACTTCACGATCTTCACCAGAAACTGTCCTATCAGGCCATAAGGTCTACCACCGACAAACACGTTCCACGAGAGTCGCGACACCTTGATTAATTCATACGATGTATATGCGGTGTACGACATATCTCTGGTGTCAACAATCCTGTCGCGAACGCTCTCTCACGCATTCACCACCTGGATAACACTTACCCAGAATCCATAGACTTACAGGACTTATCCTCAGCGCAAACTGTCGACACTGACACCGAGAGACTGCGTAAACGCTCAATGCTCCGTATCTAACATTTACCACTTCCGTCCTCAGACAACAAGGTCGATTGCGACGTCTCCCTAGGCCACCCTAGGCCAGTATGTGCCATCAAAGGAAAAAGGTTTTCGAGACACTGCAAAATTTATCGCACCCAGGCACCCGAGCGTCAGTAAAACTCATCACTGATCGTTTTTCTGGCATAAAATTAAGAACTACATCCGCCTATTGGCACGCCATTGCTTGTTCTGCCAACGTTAAAAGGTTACTCGGCACACAACGAGCCAATTAGGTTCTTTCACCGTCGTTTACAATAGGTTCAATCACGTAGTCCTAGTTGGATTCCTTCCACTATCCTAAAGGTGGATTTATATCCTCAGATGTATAAATCATTTCACCCGGTGGCCGGTGGCTGTGTCGTTGTCTTCCGCGTCCAGTGAAGAAACAGCACAAGGCTTAAGAGAGGGTAGAAACCCGGTTGTCCTTCAGTAGTTACAACTGTGATGGGGTTCGAAAGCTTTTGTACACAATACTTTTCTAAGTCCATTATCTTCCTTTTCTTATCTCTTCTTTCTCTTTTATGAAATCAACATTTAACAGTTGTTTTAACCGGCCTTTTCACAACCCGCTTGGTATCTTTGCGGTCTCACCCTGTGATTTTCTCATTGTTTGTCGTTCTGTAACGGGGACCTACGACGGTTTCGTAAGTCGCAAATATGTATTGATGTATGCCTAGAATAGAAACGAAATTCCAACTGTCGTTCAACTGCTTTCCAACGTGCTGGAAATTTGGTCAGTCGAGGTCGAGACATTGCGATTCGTATTGAGCATTGTTCGGATTGCCGTTACAGTTTGAAACCTTGGTCAAGTTACGTTCGGTGAGCTCATCTACATTCTTCTTTTTTGTCTTCAATATTTTATTTTTAAATTGAATTTAATGTCGTCTCAACCTGGTCAATCAACCTCAGTCAGAATATCCTCCTCAGGAGAGAAAGAAGGTGAAGAAACCACCGTCGTTAAAAGCTTAAGTGCTGCGCCATCCTTGGGGGATCACATCACAGCACGAGGTCTGCAATGAAAAAGGCAGAAGTAGAACTACGGTTATTGAGGGATAGACATAGATTAGAATGTGAGGTAAAGGAAGCCGTCTTTCGCCAACAACTGTGCGAGGCCGAGGCTAAGCGGGCTATTGCAGACACTGAGTACAACAGAGATGCAGAAGACGCAGCATCCAGGTGCTCCAAGTCAAGCTACAAGGAAAGGGTAGAAACCTACCAACGAGACAGTGTTTTCCCGAAGTGAAGTTTAGTAGGAACGTGAGAGAAATACCTGACATGACAGATTTCACGGCTTAGAACTCCCGCGGCTAGAACTGATTTCTTTCGATGGAAACGCTACAGAATATTGGCGATTCACACGACAGTTCGACGGCTTCTTTGCTAGACTCTCTTGTGGGGAAGGTAGAAAGCTGGCTTATAATAATAATAATAATAATAATAATNCACTGAGTACAACAGAGATGCAGAAGACGCAGCATCCAGGTGCTCCAAGTCAAGCTACAAGGAAAGGGTAGAAACCTATCTACGAGGGAGTGTGCCCCGAAGAGAAGTTTAGTAGGGGCGTGAGAGAAATACCTGCACCTAGGCATGACAGCCTTCACGGCTTGGAACTGCCGCGGCTAGAACTCATTTCTTTCGATGGAAACGCTATAGAATATTAGCGATTCAAACGGAAGTTCGATAGATTCTTTGATAGACTCTCTTGTGAGGAAGGTAAAAACTGGCTTGTCTGTTGCACTATTGTGAGGGAGTAGCTAGAGAGACAATAGAACCGTGCCTGCTAATGTCAGAGGACGCTGGCTATTATACGGCCAGGGAGATACTCGATAAATTGTTTGATCGACTGCACGAAGCAGTAAAGGACGTTCTAGCTAAAATAGCAGCGTTGAGTGGAACATGCAAGGACCTGAGCAGGCTAATCATTGAATTGCGAAGCTGCTACATGGTCCTAACGAAAATGGGATATGGATCCCAGTTGGATATCATACTCCGGTGGGAGTCATTATTTACACGATTGCCCAGACGCTTGCAACGTACGTGGGCCGAAGTGGCGGATAGGATCGTATCCAATGGCGGACG